CGGCGCGGACGTGGACCCCGGCGGCTCGGCGCGGGCCAGCCGGTCCTCAGAGAGCCGGGCCAGCTCGGCCTCGACGTCCGGCTCCGGCGCCTTCAGGAGCGACTGGAAATGGCCGCACTCCTCCGGGGTCAGCAGCTCGGCCAGACGGACGGCCGCGTGGGGGCCCATGGCGTCCAGGGCCCCCGCCGGGGACAGCGCCCAGCCCCAGAGCGCCAGCGCCAGGGCCCGAGCCCGGGCCGCCATCGCCACCGCTGGCTGTGACCGCGCCGTACCCACTGTGGTGGGAGGAGCTCCGAACGCCCACGAGTGGGGGAGGGGTGCCTGGTACCCACGGCGGGGGGAGGGGGGCTTCCACAGGCCGGGACCCGGGCGAGGGGGCGGCCCACACGTGGGATCTCCCAGCACCCGGAAACTAGGAATCGGAAGGAATTAGGAGTGAGAGTTTTCCAAGACCCAGGGGTGGGGGACACCCAATCCCCCAGGAGGCTAGGATCCTGGGCCCTTATATTAAAATGCCTGCCCTAGGCCTGCCGCCTGGCCATCCCACTAATGCCTCAAATTGCCAAGTGTCCCACATCTCTAATAATCCATTCACCGCCCCTCAGTCTCCAGCACAAGCCCTAGACCCCTTGCTCTCCATGATCCAATACCCAATCCCAAATTCTCGAGCTACCTACTAAATACCAAATATTTATAGACTCACCAATTCCCATCCTCCCACAGGTGCCTCCAAACCCTCACCTCCTCTTGTCTGGATTAGGTAAACTCAGTCCCCACCCCTACTCCACACACACCAGGGCCCCACTCCCTAACCTTGTTTCCTTTCCTGAGCAAGCTTCGTTCTGGCTCTCCTTTGGATCTTGGCCTGCACTCTCTTCCGTCTTGGTCACTCCTCAGCTGACAGGTACCTTTTGGGAAGCCCTCCCGGACTCCAGTACACACCCTTCGCCCCTCTCCATTAGGTACCCCTCTTATCTACTCCTACACTACGCTGCCCCTCTGCCTTTTTCTGACTCCTCCATTCCACTGTAAGGTCCATCTGCTGTCCCCGCAGCAACTAGCACAAAGTAGGTGTTCAGTAAAGATTTGTTGGATCCGTGTATGAATTCTTTTTTTTTTTTTTAAAGATTTTATTTATTTATTTGACAGAGAGAGAGATAGCGAGAGCAGGAACACAAGCAGGG